TGTTTTTAAAGTTTGAAAAGTAATGTAGGGTAAGGTAAAAACGTGTAGGGATAAGTGCAAAAAATGTAAACAATAGAGAGTTGTAGCTATTGTTTTAATGTTTTCAAAACGGATTGATATATGGATTGAAATGAAGTGAGATGAGGGGTATAGATTTTGGGCGTTGGCGTTTAAAATCCGAGAAAAAGATAGATAACTAATTCAGTAAGATAAAGAAGTCAGGTAAAAATGAAAACTGATTTATGTCTTAAAACCGAGAGAGAGAGAGAGAGAGAGAGAGTGTGTGTGTGTGTGTGAAAAAGTTAAGTGAGATAACGTCAAGTAAAAAAAATGAAAAATGATTTGTCTTAAAACTGAGAGCGAGTGAGAAAAAGATGAGAAGTAAATTCAAGTAAAAAAGTAAAATTTTGTTTTGTCCTAGAGCCAAGTATATAGATTGCGGCAGTTAAATTTGAAAAGTGAAAAGTGAAAAGAAAAACCAAGGTTAGTTTATAGAGTTTGAGCTGTAGAGCTGTAAAGTTGAGTATATGAAGTAAAGTAAAAAAGTGAGATTTTTGCTGCTAAAAGTCAATAAACGAGATGAACTATATAAAGTGCAAGTCGATTTAGAAAAAAAGTCCAAAGAAAAGTGTTGAAAATATGGAAGGGAGAGGATATGTGCAGATAATTCTTTTTTTTTTTTTTGAAAGCGTGAAATGTAGGAATAAAGATTATGCAAAATACAAAATGCAAGAGATGCGAATGAGAGTTGTGATGAGAGGCGGATGGGAGTGATGATTGTCGTAATGATTTTGTATTTTGAAATTCCAGGGTCCAGATGGTTCCTTTTATACCAATTTAAAAGATATCCTGCTACACTTAAAAAATGTTTTTATTATATATAATTGTAGTCGAAATGTGTGGTGTGGTATCCCAAATGACCTATTTTTAGATAGGCTAAGGAACGGCGGTACCTTTTTCTTTCTAACCCCTCCCAAAAAATTACAAATAGAAGGGGGCACAGGATTTGGCGCGCCAATTAAAAGGAATGGCAGCTGGATGCGCCTACAAAGCAAGCCAGTATTTGTTTTCGAGTGTGACGGACAGGGGCCTTTCTAAACAAGTTTTTTTGTAAAGACAACTGGAATTGCACAAAGGACAGAAGAGAAAATGTTTTAATTGTAAGGGAAAGCCAAAAATAATTTGTAAAAAAAATGTCTAAAAAAACATGTTTTGTTTGTTTCTACACACACAGAAAGCCCCAGCTTTGTCTCTTCGGGTGCCTAAGCAAACGAGTCGCTGAAATTAAAAAAATCCAAAGTGCATAATGGTTTCTTGGAACTGCTCGGAATTGGATTTTCTTAAGCGTTTGTCCATTTTTAGATACTTTCATTATGTGAACGCGTCGATACAGAATTTAATAGAATTGAACAGAAACTTTGAAACCTTGATTCCAACAAGAAATCCTACAAGCGCGGTAATTGCGACCAAGTGATTGTCCCGGCTCTCCTGTGTTAAATCCCGTCTGGATATCTGCGGCGCCAATGTCAGCTTGTCCGTGGGCAGCGCAGCAATTGTGCCAAGTGCAAATGAAATTAGCATGCAGCTAAGGAGTTGTGGGGAATGCATGGTTATTAGAAAACAAAAAATTAATGCTTGGGCAAAAGGAAAAAATAAAGTGGCGGAATTGAATATAACAGGGTTAGTATGTTTAAGAGAAATACAAAAACAACGAGCAAACGGCGCCCTATTTATTTGTATTTACCAACATACTAATCCATAGTTGTAATGAGCACTGCAAGTAAAGAAAATGCTTCATCAGGAATTTACAACGGCGGTGTAAAAATAAAGTCAGCATACATGTGCATTTTTTGTTGACTGGGAGGTACGCTCGCACAGTCAATCAGCATTCCGTCTTTGTCTGCTTCTTTGCAATGCCACAATAAAACAAATGTCAGAAGAAATAGGGCGTGGGCATGTAGCTCTGCCTGCTGCTGTTAAATTGACAATAATTGCGAGAGCAAATGAAATGGTGTTGCGATAATTGTCAATACAAAAGTGTTACCAACACGAGTTTCTTTTGGGATTTGGATCTGTACCCGCTGGCACCAATAGAAGAATGGATCTACGCGGCCACCCTCATTGAATCCCCACATGTGTAGTGCTGACGTCTATGACTATAGCCGTGGCTTGGTTGTGCCCCCCCTCCCCGTCCGTGCAACATGCTTGGTTGATTCCCAGCGCCAACCACGTCTCACACTGGTTTGTTGTTCAATATCAATGGCATTATGGATTCCGCAAAAAAAATTAAACGACAGCCACACAATAACGCCAACCGCAAACATACAAGTTGCAGGTGATTATTGATTATTCAAACCACCCCGATTAAGTAATTAATCAAATCTTGGTTGTTCCAAGACAGCAATCAGTGCCCACATTTCCCTTCACCCCCACTCCTGCTTCTGCTTGTCCATGCCTTTTTTGGTTTCTGTAGTTCGCGATAGTCCCCCTCCCCCCTTGCTTTGTCCCCTGCTCAGTATCTTAGCCATCAAAGCAAGCAGCCTAGAACATACCCAAATGGGGGGTCCGCAATGATGGGAGCAAATACATGACAGGCCGCCCCAGGCCCAGCTTGGCCGATTTCTGTATCTCTTCCCCACATATTCATAATTTTTCTTCGGGTGTATTCACTCGCATGCGTTTGTACTTACTATTCCATTACCACCTTTCTAATATGCTAAACAAACTATACTCCTTATGTATGCCCCGCAGCGGCGGCGCCAGCGACAGCAGCGAGACGCCCGTGCACAGATACCCGTCGACCATCGAGCGGGGGCTAACAGACTGCGCACCGCCCAATGTGGGCACTGTGTACGATGCCCTGCTGTACCGGCTTGGACAGGAGCCCGATAAGACAACAATGGGGCGGCGGCGCGTGCTGGGCATCAGCGAGCGCACAAGCCCCGGCAGCAGCGGCGGCGAGGGCTCGGGCAAGAAATGGAGTTATTTCCGCCTGAGCGACTACGAGTGGATGACATACCGCGAAATAGCGCAGCTCACCCGCGAGATGGGCGCAGGGCTCGCGCACATTGCCGGTGGCTTGGCAGGCGCGCGCGTGGCAATCTACGCGCCGACGTCGCGCGAATGGACGCTGTGCATGCTGTCGTGCTACTCGCAGGCTATGCAGGTAGTCACCGCGTACGATACGCTGGGCGACGAGGGCGTTGTGCACGCGATGAACGAGGCCGAGGCGCGCGTGGCGTTTGTCAAGGCCGACCAGATGCCAGTGCTGGACCGCATTGGCAGCCGGCTGCGCACAGTCACGGCCATTGTGTACTACAGCGACTTTTACGGGATGCCCAAGGCGGCCGAGGCGGCGCTCGAGCGCGTGCGGGGCAGATTCCGGGTGCTTGAGATCGCCGAGCTGCAGCAGCTCGGGCGGCAGCATCCGCGCGACCTGCGTGTGGCTGGGCGTGGCGACACGGCGCTGGTCATGTACACCAGCGGCACGACGGGCCCGCCCAAGGGCGTGCTGGTTGCGCACGGCGGGCTGCTGGCAATCTGCGGTGCCATCCACGAGCTGGTGCCCGAGTGCATCGACTACGAGGCCGACCGCGTGCTGTCGTACCTGCCGCTTTCCCACGTGCTTGCGTTCTTCGTCGAGACGTACTGCCTGTACTCGGGTATCCGCATTGGCTACGGCACGCCGCGCACGCTAACCGAGGACAATGTCGAGGGCTGCCTGGGCGACCTCCGGACGCTGCAGCCGGCGGTCATGCTGGGCGTGCCGCAGGTGTGGAACACGATGCGCGCCAGCATCCTGCGCCAGGTGGTGCGCCGCCCGTGGGCAGTGCAGCAGATCTTCCACGGCGCCGTCGAGCTCAAGACGTGGCTGACGTACTATGGGCTGCCCACGGGGCTGCTCGACCGCGTGGTATTCCGCCAGACACGCCAGGGCACAGGCAGCCACCTGAAGATTGCAATCACCGGCGGCGCGCAGATCAACCAGCACGTGCAGAAGTTCATTGCCGCGACTATCTGCCCGATGCTCCACGGGTACGGCCTGAGTGAGGCCAGCGGGCTTGTGTCTGTGCAGGTGCCCGGCGACGTCACGCTAGGCAACATCGGCCCGCCGGTGCCATCGGTCGAAATAAAGCTGGTAGATGTGCCCGAGAACGGCTACTTTGCTCGCGACGGGCGCGGCGAAATCTGGGTGCGCGGGCCGTCGGTATTCCAGGGTTACCTGAACAACCGCGACATGACGCAGGAGGTGCTGACCAAGGACGGTTGGCTTAAGACCGGCGACATTGGCGAGTGGACGCCGCTGGGCCAGCTGGCCATTGTTGACCGCAAGAAGAACCTTGTCAAGCTGGCCCATGGCGAGTACATTGCGCTTGAGGCGCTCGAGTCCGCGTACAGCAACTCAAAGTATGTCAGCAACATCTGCGTCTGCGCCGACGCGCGGATGACTCGGCCATGTGCCATTGTCAACATGGACTCGGCTTCTATTGCGCACTGGGCTGCCGAGGCCGGCATTGCGTATGGGTCCGCCGCTGAGCTAGCTACTAACCCTGACTTTGTCGGGTTGGTTTACGACGACCTGGCGGCCGCCGCGCGCCAGAACAACCTCCGCAAACAGGAGCTGCTTGCCAGCATTCTCATCGACCCCGAGCTGTGGACGCCCGAAAACGGCATGCTCACTGCTGCCAGCAAGCTGAGGCGCGCAGACATCCAAAAGCACAACGAGAAGCGGCTGCAGGACATGTACGCGCACATGTAAATTAATTGAAAAATAAATGTAAACGAGACTTCATTCACTACTCTTTGTTTATTTCAACCATTGAAGCATAAATGTAAAAAAATTGGGGGTTAGAAAGAAAGACTTGCTATTTTTTGCTTTACACTCGCTGAGCTACAAAACGCACACAATGACATGCGCGCATATTAAAGAACAGAAAAGACGACGACGACATGCTGCAGTCAACGCGCAATTAATTTTACATACTTCATTTGGCCAAAACATAAGTAATACCACCACTCGAGTGTCCAACGCTATGCTCACTTCACTTCACCTCGGTTTTATTTAATATACACTTTTAGCAATATATACGCACATCAGCCAAACAATATGTTCAAGTTTCTTTTCATCATCGCGTTGAATTTTGCATTGGCAGTTGCTACTGCCATAAATTACCCGACAGGTCTCTACAGGCGCGTCATTGTCGACAGCGCTGAAAATAAATCCAATTCAACGAATGATGTCAGTGCTGGGCTAATAGCCGGAGTCACTGTTGCTGTCATCTTGGGTCTTCTTCTTCTTTCATTTGGTGTCACATTCCTGATCTCTCGCTATAGCCGCAAAAAGGCTGCCAACATTAACAAGTAGATGGGAATAATAAGCGCTAATACAGGCAGGCGGACAATATTTTCGATAGTATCAAAGAAATATTAAGGCTTGTCGCATGTGTAAGTGTAAATGTGAGTGTGTGTTTGTAGCTTTCTTCTATTTCTTTGCTTTGTATTTTACTTTTTGCAAAGCGTATAAAAAAGGTGAGTAAAATGTGCGACTTTTTTTCAAAGGGCCAAGACAACACGGTCAGTTTTTGTTTTTACATTGATGCGAAAATCATCTCTTGCTTCTATATTATTTATTCTCATTAGCATTAAAATTTTTATTCAATACTAATCAAATATCTTTATTATTCACACAACCATGTCGACCCTACACACCACACTCGCGCTTCTCATGTCATTTGTAGTTGCTGTCATGGGCTATCCAGCCATTCATACAATCTACGAAAGGCGCGCCGTTGATGGTTTCAACTCCATAACACAAACACAGGTAGCTGAAACTGGTAGCCCTACAGACACGGGAAACAAAATCTCTGGAACAACCATTATGTGGGCTGCAATTGGGTGCGGACTGGGTGTAGCGTGCTTTATGGTTTTTCTGGGCTGCTTCAAAAAGGTCAACCAGTTTCTCTGCCCTTGTTGTTGCAGCGGGGACAAAGAAGAGCACAAAAACTAAAAAAGGGTTAATAGAATCATGTCCAGTCAATAATAATGGCCAGAATTAACGTCGGACTATATTTAATGTGTGCGCTAATTTGCACAAAAGAAATAATATTATGTCACGCTTTTTTCATATCATTATTTTTAAATATATGCAATTTGTGTGGCTTTTTTTATTTAAATTTTTGCCCAGAAAATCAGCAAACAAGGAATTTCCGTTTCCATATTGTCTGTCTGCATTCAACTTGGGATTTGAAAACATACATTGTCGTAATACAACCAATAAATTGTCGATATTTTACAATAGCGCGATCACACTATTGTGATGACTTTGCAAATGTTAAATAAGTGTGAAAACAATGAAAATTCGGATTTAGCGTTTTCCCAACAACCTTTAGTCGGTTGAAAAAGTTGTAGCACCTGGCGATCATCTATATGAAAAAACGACTGTCTCATATTTATAATCCCTTTTACTTTACTAATGTTTAATCTATACATTTTATACGCGTTCATATATTTATAAACATAATGGATTCCGACCCGCACGTATGCAGTAAATGCAACGCATCGTTCAAAAACGAAAGTGATTATTACGTCCATATTTTTGACTGCTATTTAAGTATTTCCAGTTGAATGTCTAACCAAACGCACCTGATTACTAATGTGGTTGTTTCTCAATATCCCAGCACAACAGCCTTAAGTATTTTTCGGAAACTATAAATAAAAATGACATACAGCGGTTAGGTTACTTTATTAGATTAAAACATAGTAATAAATAAATAGTTTGTCCACACATACCCAGTGCACAAAATAGCAGCTATTAAAATGGCTTAATAAAACTGCCCATTGCGGTTGCTGGAGCTCAAAATATCGGGCAGCAACATCAATAATCACCCATCCCTGATCAAGTTCAATCTATAAAACTATTTTTAATAAATTTACAAATATTCACTTGAGATATTGCTTACCACAGTTTGTCATTTGAATATCATTACCTGCAAGATGCCATTTGATAGTTCCATTTTTTATTGTTGCAATAGGCATACTAGTGACATCACTTTATTTATTGTATGATTGTAATGGTAAAATGAATATCAAATGACCATAAGCGGATGATGAATAAACGTACATGCAATTTTTTCAATTGAGAAAATATTTTTGCAAAGTGCTTAGTTTTGAAAAAAAAATATAAATATGGAAATTGGCGTCGTGAATTCTCTATTTCTATCATTTTTACAACTGTTATAGTAAGGGGGTGTGAGGAGCACTAGTGTCTAGTGTTAAAAGGTAGGGGTGATTTTATAAAAGGTTTTATTACTAATGTTTCTAAAATACTGCTAGGGCTGGCCTCATCTTATACATGTGCCTCATCGCCTTTGTTGTGCACATTTCCAATTGTGCGCTCCGCTGGTGAGAACTGGATCTTCTGCGAGCAGACCGGTATCTTGGCAAGTCAATGTTGTGGTTTTTGTGTGTGTACGCTCATGCGTGTGCATTGCAAAATGGGGAGCATGTTTGGACATCAATGTAATGCCTCCCTAATTTACGCCTGCATGATCCAATTAGCGTCCTATCAATCAGCATGTAGGTGAAAACCTGTTTCGCGATTCTCGACCTCAACATCCACTTCCATATTTTTAAATTTTGAGTATAACGCTTACTATAACCTTTCTACGTCTTATTTTCGCCGCAAAAAGTATTTAGAAACTTATAATGCAGTTAGATTCAATGGTTTGCACTAGATGCAACAGGGCTTTCAAAACTGAGGGCTATTATCACCACTTATTTGAGTGTTTGACGACCAAACCAAAGTAAATTTTTAGGCCCGCATGCTTGTATACTACAAAAAGCAACGCATTCGCCTGATCCATTGCCTTGGCGCAGCACGTTTGAAAAGTTGTTTTATTTTACTAAGTTTTGTTTAAAGAATAAACAATGTAAACATAATTAATTTCCCTTGATTACCAAATTGTTCTCAGTGAATGTATATTGGCAAAATAATTACAGCGATAAGCATCAAGCTTGTAAACCAGCGGCTCTCATGCTAACAATAATCGGTTTTTTTGTGCTACTTATATATCAATCAGTTGATTAATTGGATATGTGTTTATGTGTTTGTATGTTTGATTGAATTAGACTTGAATGCAAACAATTGGCAAACCAACCATTATTACAACATACGTTGATATGCCGCAAATAATTAAAATATGGCTTGCTCAAAAATAGTTTTTAGGCATCAAACCACGCTATTTTGACTGGGACAAATATCATTGCGTGTCAAATCATTTTATAACATAAAACATAAAGCTGAAAATACAAAATATAAAATTGCGCAACCGCCTGCAAAAAAAGACTGACTCATATAACATTTGTTTTCTCATTTATATAATATTTTTATTTAATTTATCTGCAACCAACGTATGCGTGCATGCAATAATCAGTGTTTTTTTGGATAAGGTCGACGAGACGCCATTTGTGTGCATACATTGCAGTAAAGAATTTTGTTGGAATATTGGAATGTTCTATGAACGTGTAGATAAAC